ATATATATATATATATATATATATATATATATATATATATATAGACAAGTATAATCATAAGAAGGTTGTCGATTTAATTTTGGATTGCTTAACATATATGGATAAAAAAAAATGCGAAGGAGCATTTTCAAGAGGCTTCTGAATTTTCGAACATGATAACATTTGAAAAACGAGTTAAGCCAATTCAACTTCATCAAGTGTGATTATCGAAGACCATTTTTAATGCTAGCATATGCTCTACACTAAGGGTTTAAGCACCTCTTTTGTCAATAATAATGCTACACTAAATCAACCTCCACCTTGCCAAAATCGACTTTTCAATTATCCTATTGTCCGATCTCCAACCAAGAATTTAGCACCAATCACTATGTTTGAAGCCTTTTCTTCAACTTACTTATCAACTCCAAACACTTATAAGCGTGATGCAGACAATCATTCCCATTCTGTTAGCACAACTAGCAATAGCACAAAACTCACTCAAGACCTACTACCACATATGGCTCTTGTTATGCCTTTGTTCTAACCGGCACTTGATTTTGGATAGTCATTTAAATTTGGATTCGTTATTGTTTCCTTGTCCATTTAATTATATATTTCTATATCATTATAGTCTTCGAGTAGTTTCACCTTAGTTAATCGAAAGATAGACTATAACTAACTCACATGATCTTTGTCATCATATTATAGAACTCGTGTCAAATCTACTCCCTACGTACATATTAATGTTTGCTACACCAACCTTCTCTTTTAACTGTGTCAAGGCTCCCTCGAGCGAAATGCAAGCTCTAAGATTTTTTTAAAAAAATCACATTTCTTTTATTGATCAAATCAAGAAGATAAGAAAAAAATAATCATGATATAAATGTATCAAATTGATCTTAGTTATCAAGATTTAAAATAATGATAATAATTTTATAATTCAAAGTATAATAAAAGTTAGTATATATTCTAAAAAAGAACCCATAACAATTTGAATTGTATAAACTGCCTATAATTAATTCATATAAAATTTTTAAAGGAAAAAAAAACCAAAATAACACCATTCTAATACCAATAAAACTAAAAGCAAGAAATATCATGCCACATATATGAACATAATTTTAAAAAATTCAAATTAAAGCATCCTTTAATTATTTTTGAAAGCTTTATAAGTTGCTTTGTGCTAAGTATATTTTACTTATTTGCCAAGTAATCAATGTCCTGCTCACACATGACAAAAAAAATTATGACAAATATAACAAGACTTGACGATACCAACTCAACACAAACTTGGAGTCAACCAAAGAAAATGTGGCCAATAGTGATATCCAAGATGATCTATTGGTCGTGTCATCTCATCCTCCAAGTGGAATATTCCAATATGGCGTCTTGTATACCTATAGGATCCACAGATATCCAACATATCATTAGTATAGTAGATACAGTTTTGTTTCAACTCTGGAAAGTCTATAGTCGAGAGACACATTGACTGATTTTTGCCTATGAACAATGTTTGCTCGTGTAAATTATTCACCTTTTTCCACTTACAAGTCTCCTCATCTAGGGAAAATATGGTACAAATAATGTTCTTAGGGTTGTCCGTAGAACCCAATTGTTTTTTGTTCTTGTGTACCAGCATCAAATTACTGTCTAGTGACTCAACCAAGTAATATATTCCCCTGAGCAAACAATATGAAGATAAGTCTGAGATGAAGATGATATGCTTAAAGGCAAGTTCATCGGGCTCCCATGTCTCAACCACCTGGTGAAAATTGATAGTGTAGAATTTGGCGTTGCGATAAATTATGTCGGAGTAATAATAAGGCGAGCTTATAGGTGTCCAAGCCTTGTCCCCAGCTCGGGCAAAGGCTAGCTTACACCAATGGCTATAGATCATCATGATGGTGAAGTCATTGTCTGCATCAGGAGCTTTAGAGAGGACGACCTTGTGGATGAACTTGAGCCAGAAAGAGTACTGGTTATGATCTTGTTCCACTTTGAAGTTGGTGATTTGGTCTTCTAAATTATAAATGCCTCTGATAAAGGGTAAGGTTAGCACCGAAGGGAGTGGGATTTGAGCCCCAGTGAGTGGATTCAAAAGGTGCATGTTGCAGCGTCCATCCAAAGTGACCAGCCAACCATGACAAGAACCGACATAGATCCTTTTACCGATCATAGGTTCCGGGCATTGAATCTTATAAATTTTTTTCTCGACAATAGAGAAGAACTTGGCCGTGGAATTGTCATCACCGGACAACATGAGCCACGGGGCTTGTGGCCTTAGACGCCGATGGTCCTCGAACTTGTTGACCAAGTTCCAATGTTTACAAACGGCTCTGAAACGTACGTAATCACAAATCGAGAGTTCACCATGAATCATACCCAAGACGTCTTTCGTGAGCTCTGGCCAATTTGCCATAAGAAAAGGAGAAAGCGTACATAAGTCTTTTCCACCTGTTTCTTCGATCTATCGCTATATTAGAGCTGCTTCACAAATTAAGATCAAAAAAATTATTTCAATAGTGATTCTCGGATCTCCTAAATTAAGTTTCGAAAATATAAATCTTCATAATCAAACTTTATCATGTGCATAACATTTCCATTATCATGGTTTGATTATATTGGAGTAGATTATATATAAATAGTGCACTCCTCAAGCATTCGAGAGGCTTTACTCCCAGGCGATTCTCCCTAAGATAGGTCACATCTACTATTTAGCAAATGAAGAGAATCAATATCGTATGGCATTATAAGATGGATAAATTTCTCCGAGTAACCAATAAAGAATCAATAAAGGAATCATTTAACCATCATGTCTAATAATTCACTAATTCTTAAAAATAATCATTGAACCAATATAAATATATTTGCTTTTAATAGAGGATAAAAAACTGATATATTATCGAAGATAACATTCATTCATTTATAATCATTCAGCTATCACATGCATTATATATATATATATATATATATATATATATATAGAGAGAGAGAGAGAGAGAGAGAGAGAGAGGAACTATGTTGGTTTCAAGATCAATTGGTCTATATTTTTTTTAAAAAATTGATTAAATAGTTTGAATCAACCCATCACAATTGGATTAAAAAAATAATTAAATAGCTTGGATCCAACCCATCACAATTTCTCTCATGCATGGCCCGAGCACACATCCGAGCCAACTGATTTGATTGGGTTCAAATCAGGCAAGACTTTGATTGTCTCAGACTAAATAGTCACCCCTTTTCCAAAATATCATAATTTAAATATGATTTTTAAAAAATAGAAAACCAAATAATTTTGCATACTAAATTATTTAATTTATTACATGAAGAT